GCCAGTGAGAAGCCCCCCATGGAAGCCAGGCGGAGCCTCCCACGCAACGGTCCAGAAAACAACCAGCCGGCGGGTGGTGAGTGGCAGGACTGGGGAAGGGAGCAGGATGCTGGCCAGAGTCCCGAGGGTGTGAGGAGGAGGTAGACCTTGTGTTGGCACCAACTGTCCCAGTCAGAGGGCTCCAAGAGCGCCCACGTGTGAAGGTGATGGAGTTAGTGGGGAGCTGGTTTGGAATGGCAGGGGCCCCTCCCACAGCAACTTCCATAATCATTGTTCAGGAACCCTCACTGCTGGTAGGTCCTCTTGGAATACACCTATGGACTCAGTGGTGCCAGACACAGCTTATCAAAGACCCAGTGGACTGGTCCTCTAGAAAGCTGTCTGTCTGCCTGCAGGAGGAGAACTGCATCCGGGAGGTTGAGAGTTTGAGTTCACCAGTAGGATTCTCTGTGGAGGCAGCTGGTAACAATGTGGCCATTTGTCTCTGCAAGATTGCCATTCAGTGACTAGATCCTTCCTGGTCTCATCACCTCTCTGGCAATCAGCCCGGCCCAGAGGTGCGTGTATGGGCTCGCTTACGGCTCTGTGAACGACTGGCCAACCTGAGTGAGAGCAGGGCTCCTGATCCTTCAGCCCGACAACAGCAGATGAGGCCCCAGCAGGGCATGGCCGGACCGGGATGAGCTTGCTCTAGCCCGTCTGACCCAGGGCCTTTAAGACAGCGTGGTTCAGAGCCTCCCTCAGGAGCAACAGAGCCCAAGATCCTTGACCTGGGCTTTCAGACGTAGAGAGCAGGGGTGGGGAGGGAGGAGATACTCGGGTGGAGTCGGGGACACATGGCAACGTGAAAGACATCAGCAGCCCTTTTGTTTTCAGAAATGAAGCTGCATGCTCCCTCACTTCCATTTCCTCAAACTAAACACAGGAGTCCAGGTGGCACAGCAAGTAAGTGCCTGCAGGGTTAGCAGTTCATATCCACTCAGCAGCTCTACAGGGAAAAGGTCCGGCTCCCTGTCCCTTGGAAACTGGGTGAGGCAATTCTCCTGTACCACCTGGGCACTGGCCCCCCACAGCGGACACTGGAAGGTGAAGGTGGGGTCAGCCAACACCTGAGGTTGTCGAGTCACCAATACCTGGAAGCTGCCCCTCACTCCCACTTGCATTCCCTTCCTTCCCAGATTCTACAGCTGCCCTGGCCCGTAACAAAGGCAGGACCGGCCCACTGGTGCCGAGATAGACAGCTCTTAACGAAAAGAAATGGCTGGGTAGCCTGGGCCTGCTGGGGAGGGACATGGTGGGGTAGAGGACTCAGTTCTTCACTTTGGTCGCTGGCTATAAGAAGCCACGCCTCTTGCCCTGAAGGTCCCTTATCTGTGTCAATATAACCACAAGAGGCTGTTTCCCGGCAGAGGAGGGGAGCAGAGACAGTGTCCGGTTGTAGAACCTGGGAGTAGCCCCACGCAGGAGATGGTGAAGGGCGACAGTTCTGTTAAGAACGAAAACAGAAAAGAAAGGAAAAGAAAACAAAAAAAGAAAGACCAAAAAAAGAAAATCTACTACTGAGGAGCTTTGGTAGTAAGCGGCCGAGTTCACTGTAGGATTAGTGGGTGACTGAACATATGCCTCAGTAAGTGATGGCACCGTTTTCTAGTACAGCGGTTCTTAACCTGTGGATCGCAACCGCTTTGGGGGTCGAACAACCCTTTCACGGTTTGCCCGATTCATAACAGTAGCAAAATTGCAGTTATGAAGTAGCAACGAAAATAATTTTATGCTTGGGGGGGTGATCACCACAACCTGAGGAACTGTAAGGGTCATGGCATTAGGAAGGTTGAGAACCACTGTTCTAGTCAGAAATCCGATACCTGCTTGGAAAAATATTACGGTCAAGGCATAAAGATCAA